TTTTAAAAAAAAAAAAAAAAAAAAAAAAAAAAAAAAAAAAAAAAAAAAAAAAAAAAAAAGAATGTTAGCTGCCTTTATGATTATTATCTTTGTTGTAGTTTTCCTTGTCCTGTTGCCCTTTTCCTCTCGTATCCATTCCCATCCCTGATCGTTGCTGCTAAGGTAGGCTTGCAATGTTTAAATGAAGAATATGGGTCATGGTCCCCGTTCCATCTTGCTTAATCGCGAATGCAAATGCAAGCTGATACTGCAATTTGTTTGTTCAGGGACTTCAGAAAAGAGGGAGGGCACTTTTTACCTACCCCCCATTTTATTATTAAATCTTAGGAAAGCCATAGAAGTACAAGCACACACTAGCATCTAGATTATGCTACTAATTCGCAGTTAGTGTCATTCTTCTGAACTCTTTCTGAAGTAGTTTTACTTTTAATCAAGGTGCAGTTCTGTTTACAAATTTTTTTTTCTTGTGCCTCTAACCAACTGAGCTAACTGGCCAGCCCCTCTATTTGCAATTTTAATTTTTAAAAATTTATCATCTTAAACATATGTTCCAGTTTGTGCTGAGCAGGATTAAAAAAATTTAGATAGATTTTGTGGAAGTCTGATGCATTTCTCAAGCAATTAAGCAATTTAAGACAAGTGAGGTCTGTGCTTAAGTATGTTTGATCAGAGCCCAGGCCATTTTTACCTGTGTATTTTCAAAGAGTATCCACTTTACCTATCATTTCTTTGTTTGTTTTAAATTAAAAAAAAAAAAAAAATCCCTTAGACTGCAGGTTAATATTTAAGTAAGTTAACTCGTTTTATGTGTTTGCCTGTTTGATTGCCAATTTGTCTTCAGCCAGATACTTAGGCCAGCAAAGAAGCTTATAGCATTAAATGAACCTAGAGTGGGGGACAGGTTGTTTTTTGCTTTATAAAGGTAGAAGAAAGAAAGGTAGAAAGCTACTAGCTATACATTTTCCCATTTTATAGAATGAATCCTTTCTAAGCTTTGCTTTGTCCATTGCTTTTTTCATATGAGGAGCCCAGGGATCTCATAGCTTTCATTAAATTACTGGTGAGAGTTAAATGAGCTACTATAAGTACAAGTGCTTAGAATAGTATCAGGGTATTCAGTATTAACTGTTCAGTTAATATTAGCAGCTTTTATATAGACCCTGCAGATCTAATCTGGTGATGACTTCTCTTATTTTAGATTCTCTTCACTGGCTTTGAAGATATTTCATAGGGAGTTCAAACAATTCTAAAGGTTTTGAAACTTACATATGTGAGTTGTTGAGAAGGATAATCTTAGTACACCATTTACTTGTTTGGGGGTACTATGATGAGTTCATACTCAAAGCATGTTGAACAGAGTGTGGCATTTAAAAACCACTCCGCAAATGTGACACTTTATTCTGTTCAAAGCATTTTGATGTCTGTCATTTTATGTGACCTTTACAATAATTACCTCTGCAGAGATAGCACTTGGGGTCAAGGGTCACAGGTGGAGCCAGGGCCACAATTTGGGTTTAACATCTCCTGCTGTGCTGCCTGGAGATCCCTGAGGCTGAGATAACCACAGCTCTGCCTGCACCTCTGGTCCCTGCTGTCCTGTGGGGAGAAGTGTGGCGTCTATGGACCCGGGGATCCTCTGTGAGTATCTGGAACCAATAGATACCAGCTTGACATCTCCTCAGCTGTAGAATCAAAGTTAGGGTCACCTGCTGGTCATCTCCATGCGGATGCTGTACTTCCATCTTTCTGCCCATAATAGATTTAAATTCACCTGCCAAGGCTTAATTATTTCATCATATTCTCTCCGTCTTCCCCCTTTGGCTTTTCCCAGGGAGTTACATCCTTCTGTTAGTGCAGTGTTGTTCTTCCAGCCACATGTGCTCTGAAGATGGGTTATGATTTGTGTTTCCTCCTTAGTAGAAAAGGCTCTGTAACGTTCCTCTCTGAGGAAGCCTCTTTTCTCTGCTCTCTCCTTTGCAGTTCCTGGGCCAGGCATGTTACCTAAATTGTTGTAGGAGCATCTTAATTGGTCCTTTCTGCAAAAACTAGAACAAACCCACTCATCATAACAAGCATTGCCATATTGATCTTCCTAGAGAGCAGTTTGGATTTGTAACCCTCCTCTACCCAGAAAGTGT